GGGCTGCTCGTGGGCAGGTGCCCATGGTGACCACAGCCCACGTGCACGGAAGCTGAACACTAGGATTATTCCATTCCCCAATTCTGTGGTTTTACTGTCTGTGGGACCTGCAATATTGTTCCTCTTTTTCTTCCCCATATGCATAATTTGCTAGTTTTTTTCTCTCTCTCCCTCCCCTCAGTCTTGCTGCTGCTGGGTGTGCATCATTTTTATCAGAGAACCAGCTTTAGGGTTTTTTTTTTTATTGTTCTCTGTTATATCTTTGGATATTATCCCACTCATACCTTTTTATATCTTTCTCATTTTCTTTTTCTTTCCTTGGGATTAACTTCTTTCTTAAAAAATTCTCAAGGTGGATATTTATTTAGATTATCAAATATTTAGCCACTCCTTTTCTAATATTTTGATATAAGGATATGAATTTCCCTGTAAGTAAAGTTTTAGCAGCACCTCACAATTTCATATGTTACTTTTGTTATTTTCACTCAGTTAAAATGCTTCTGTCATTTCTAATTTCTTATTTAACCCATTGGTTATCCCATATTGTATTTTGCTGAATTTCCCAACACTTGGAAATGTTCTTACTATCTTTTTTGACATTTATATCTTGTCTAATTCTACTTTGTTTTAAAAACACACCCTCTATTATTTTAGAAGCTTGGTTTACATCCAGAAAGTAGTCTGTTTTGGTGAATAGTCTATGTCCAGTTGAAAAGAATGTGTACTTTGCAGTGTTTTTTGTTACCTGTCAGGTTTTGGTTGTGAATCGTGTTGCTTAAATGCTCCATTATTTCTATATATTCTGAAGCTAAGTTAAAGGTTGTGTTGACATTTAGAATTATGAGTCATCTTGATGAACTGAATCCTTTTTATTATGAAATGTTCTTTCTAATAACATTTCTTGATTTAAAGTCTACTTTTTCACAATCTAGAGTACCAGTGTTTTTTTTTGTTTGTTTGTTTAGTGTTTGCAGTCCATATTTCTATCCTTTGGTTATTTTCTTTTTTACATTTATGTGTGTATATTTTATAATTTTTGTTGTTTAATTGATACATGTATAGAATGCAAAATGATTAGCCTTGTAGCTGACACCTGCCTCCCATCACATAATTGCCTCTTCTGAGAACATTTCAGATCTACTCTCTTAACAAGTTTTAGGTGTATAATACAGGAGTATTAGCTGTAATCATCGTGTTCTACGTGAGATGCCCAGAACTAGTCAATCATTTAGTTGGAAGTTTGTATCCTATGTCCAGTATCTCCCATCTTCTCCACCCTCCAGCTCATGGCAACTACCCGTCTGCTCTGTTTCTCTAAGTCCAGCTCTTCTGTATTCTACTTGTGAGTGATATCAAGTGGTGTTTGTCTTTGTCTGTCTAGCTTATTTCACTTAACGTACGTCTCAAGTTTCATCCAAATTGTCACAAATGGCGGGATTCCCTTCCATCTGGCGGCTGAATAATATTCCATTTTATACACACATCACATCACATCACATCACATCGCATCTTCTTTGTCTGTTTATTTGTTGATGGACATTCAGGTTGTTTCTATATCGTGGCTAATGCAAGCAATTTTGCAATAAACATGGAAGTGCAGAGTATCTTTGTATTTTAGATTGTCTGCTATAAATTTCACAGTGAGGATTGCTTTATTTATCTAATTTGATCATTTTGTTGGAAGGGGTGAGTCTATTTACATTTGAAATTTTTGTAATGTTTATTTATTGTTGAGAAAGAGACAGAGACAGAGCGTGAGCGAGGGAGGGGAAGAGAGAGAGGGAGACACAGGATCCGAAGCAGGCTCCGGGCTCCGAGCTGGCAGCACAGGGCCTGATGGGGGGCTCGAGTCCACGAGCCATGAGATCATGACCTGAGCCGAAATCAGACGCCCAACCGACTGAGCCACCCAGGCACCCCGAGTCTATATACATTTAAAGTAATGTAACTGATGAATATTTACTTATGTTTATGATTTAACACTTCCATCCCCCATCTAACCCCTACTTTTTGGTCAGGGACTGAAATGATACGAGACATAATTTCGTTTTGGGGGGTGGGGACTTGCCTTTTTTTCATTGGCTCTTACTCAGGCCTTTCAAGGGTTTAACTAAACGCCTTTCAGGGGGGGCTTCCCCTCTTTGTGTTTTCAACTCAGCGCTGTGAGATTAGCAAGGAGCCTACTTAGCATCTTTGACTTTTTGCTACTGTTTCTGCTGGGCTTCTAGGACTCCTGGCCTGTGCAGTTTCGGAATCTGTAGACGCCTGGAGGAGAAAACAGACAGAATATCGAACCTATTTTTCTGTAGTTCTTTTTCCACCCTGGCTGCCCAATTCCCCAGAAACTGTCTCTTTAGCCTCCTGAGATTATCAAGAGCTCGGAGCAGCTGCATTGCCCTCAACCTCTTGGCCTGTGCGGCCTGCACGTCATAGGGAAAGGTGACAGAGAATATTACTCTGACCTTAATACTGTTTCCTCTGCTCTAGAATTTTGATCCTTTGAGGTGTCGTTACCTGAGTTGCATTCTGCTCTCTTTCAAACAGCTGATGTTTTGTGCTTTTATCCAGCAGTTATAGTTATTCTCAAAGGGAGAATTAATCATATGCAAGCCACCCTATTAAATCTGGAAGTTCAGTATCCAGAACTTTGTGATGTTGATTTCAACACCGCGCACGCACACACACACACACACACACACACACACACACACACACACCATGAATCGTGATCTAACTGAGCCCCACAAGAGGTCTGTTGTCGGTGTGTATACCTCCAAGATCTCTGATAGTGTGCTGTGTGCTACCAATCAGAGCACAAAACCTAACAGAGGATGCAAAAGAGTCTTAGAAAGGATGCGAGCTGGAGGAAGCATTTAGTTTTGACTCAAAAAATGCAGAAGATCGTCCCATGCTCCCGTATTCCCTTAATGTTAATATTACACCTACCCTAAGGTCTGGTTATAAAACATACATCCACTCAAACTCAGCCATACTTCCAACCACAGACATTCACCTAAGTCTCGAAGTTACGTCTCCTTCTGCTTGGTCATCACTCTAATCCTTTCCTAGACCTTGTCTTGTCCATGATAAAAGATCTGGTAGAACCCAGGTGTGACTGGCCCCAGGAATCTGGGTTGTATCTCCACTCACAGCTTCTGTCTGGGTCTTTCCCAGGACACGCTGGACGCCAGCC